AGCAAAGACTTGGAATCAACCCAAATGTCCATCAGTGACAGACTGGAGTAAGAACATGTGGCACATATACACCATGGAATACTATGCAGCCATAAAAAAAAGATGAGTTCGTGTCCTTTGTAGTGACATGGATGCAGCTTGAAACCATCATTCTTAGCAAACTATGGCAAGAACAGAAAACCAAACACTGCATGTTCTCACTCATAGGTGGGAATTGAACAATGAGATCACTTGGACACCAGAAGGGGAGCACCACACACCGGGTCCTATTGTGGGGAGGGGTAGGGGGGAGGGATAACATTAGGAGATACACCTAATGTAAATGACGAGTTAATGGGTGCAGCACACCAACAAGGCACATGTATACATATGTAACAAACCTGCACTTTGTGTACATGCACCCTAGAACTTAAAGTATAATAATTAAAAAAAAGGATTATTGACCCACTTATGCCTAACGTTCTATTACTGAAATGCTAAGCATGTGGAGTTATTTATATTCTGCTTCTCAAGGTCATCACCAAGGTCTGATTGCAAAAATTCAAAAAATTGCAGTCTCAGGCATAAATGAGTTAAAAACTTTTAAGGAGCAAGCAGAATGAGGAAGATAAATTCCAGATTGTGTGCCTAAAATAACACCTATAAATTAGTGTTTATCCAAATTCTCAACACTTCCTGCTTTATCCTGTCAGCATATGACTTTGCTTTGTATCCCACTTAAAACACAGAATGAATGAAAGCTACACACCGCCAAATCTACCCTCCTTCCTTGAGTTGTGCCCATATACTGTGCTTTACCTCCTGCCGCTTCAGATCAATTGTCCAGGTTTCCATCCATGTCCAGCCTCTCTACTTTTGCACCAGATCTCACCCTTCTCAAGAGTATGGTTTCTACAATTGTCCTCAGATTTGAGAGCTCAACTGTTTCGTGCCAGCAATTCAACAAATATGTACTAATTTCATAAACCTTGGAAAAACATTCTTGATTTCCTACTGATTTATTCCTATGCCCCCTTTTAAAAGGAAAAGAAGGATTTCTTCTTCAAAGAGAAGCTGCCTGTGGTAGACTTACCTGTAGTAACTCTAACACCTTCAAACCCAAGCTCTCATTGAGTCATTCCTGTGAAGCTTTTGTTTCCACTTCTCCACAAAAGGACTCTTGTAAAGAATTAAAATGGCCTCTGTGTTGCTAAATTCAATGGTCGATTTCCAGCTGTCATTTCACAAGACTCCTGGTTTTTACTCTCACTTTCTTCACAACTACAACTATTCCTTCTTTGCTGGTTCTTCTCCATCTTTCTTACATTTTTATACTGTGGAATCGCAGGGATGAGTACTCAGTCATTTTTTCTACCTATCCTGCACACCTTGATCTCCTCATTCAGACCACAGTGTTTTACCTACCATCTATGTGCTGACAGAAGCCGAACTTCTATTCTAAACTCTAATTGTTCCCTTAGATCCACACTAATATATGCAGTTCTCCACGTATCACCTGTATATCTAATATGCGTTCAGATGCATCATGCCCGAAACCAAAATCTTGATCTCTACTTCCAAACCTGCTTTTCCCACAATTCCTCCATTTGCAGAGCAACACTTTTTTCCCAGTTATTGAAAACTACTTCCAAATTCAAACCATTTCCATATAGAAACTTTGTAACTTCTCCTCCTTCTTTCAATTCAGTTATCATAAAGCTTATTCTCAATAGTCTAACCAGAATCATCATTTTCTGAGTTATGTCAATGCTTGTCACTCATCGGCTCAAAAATTTCCCATGGTTTCCCATGTCGCTCATAGTAAAACTCATAAAGGCTCATGCAGCGTACTAAGTGTATTCTTTGATCTCATTGTCTGCTAAGTACTCCTTAATTCATTCCATTTCAGACAAAACAGCCCTTGCTTTTCTTCAGACTCTCCTGGAACATCCCTACCTCTGGGCCTTTAAAATTATAATTCTTGTGTCTGGAATATTTCCCCACAAACATGGAAATGGCTCACTCCTTTGTCCCTTTCAAGTTCCATATACAAGGCAACATGAATTTTCCTTTCCCACGGCCCCTTGAGTAGTCTTTGCTGTCTCCTCCACTTTATTTCTTGATTGTAACTGTCATATTCTGGCATATTATCCTTAATTTATTTATGCCCTTAGTCACATTTTGTCTCCTGTCACTGGAATGTAAGTCCCATCAGGACTGTTTTGTTTCTTTGTTTGTTTTTGTCTGCTTTATTCACTGCTATATTTTAACAACAAAAAAGAGTAGATGCATAGGAAGGACTTGGTATTTTATTGAATGGATGACTCTAGATGCATAGGAAGGACTTGGTATTTTATTGAATGGATGACTCTTTACAGTTTTGAAGATAGCTTATATTCAGTGATATCTGAGGGATCATGACAATCATAAGACTTTTTTTTTTTTACAAGGGAAACTTGTAAGTCTGTAACTTGGCGGAAGCTGTCGGTGGATGGATAGATAGATGCTCATCATCAGTGGATGTTTGATAGGTGGTAAGAATGCAGGTCTAGTACTCACAGAAGAAATTAGTAAATGAGCAGTGTGAGTTTACATAAGAGGAATCATTGACACCCTAGGAGTGGAAATGGTTGCCAAGGCTGATCACTGAGAAAGAGGAAAGATGTGTGGGTATTGGAATGAAAAGCCAAACTTGGATTCAACTTGGTCTCCTGCTTTCTCTTCTAATCACCGGCTATTATTTCCTGTCTATCACTCCTTCAAAACGGGTATAAAAAGGTTAAACTGTCAATCTATATCAAATTATTGACAAATAATTGACAAAGTGGTAATAATTGAAAATTTTCATTTTTCTTTTTTTTTTTCTTTTTTTTTTTTTTTTTTTTTTTTTTGAGACGGAGTCTCGCTCTGTCGCCCAGGCTGGAGTGCAGTGGCGCGATCTCGGCTCACTGCAAGCTCCGCCTCCCGGGTTCACGCCATTCTCCTGCCTCAGCCTCCCGAGTAGCTGGGACTACAGGCGCCCACAACCGCGCCCGGCTAATTTTTGTATTTTTTTTTTTAGTAGAGACGGGGTTTCACCGTGGTCTCGATCTCCTGACCTTGTGATCCGCCCGCCTCGGCCTCCCAAAGTGCTGGGATTACAGGCGTGAGCCACCGCGCCCGGCCGAAAATTTTCATTTTTCTAAAGATGCCTGGATACTTAGATATTTAAGGGTTGTTTATTTTGGGTAAACCAAAATATAACCTCTATTTTAATAAAGAGGTGGTAGAATTACCTTTAAGAAAAAGCTATTTGCCATACTATTTTTACCCATTTGTAACACTCAACAATATTCTCCTCCTTACCAAGAGTGAATTGCTTATTGTTGTTGTTGTTGTTTTATTTTTTAACAACGCGCAAGAACATTTTACATTTTCCCAAAATTTCCAAACCTTTCACATCACGTGGATTTAATTTGGGATAATAGAGAAAGTATTCAAAATTTGTTTGGGAAATAACCTGGCTACACCAAGCATGATGGGGTGAATTGCGGATTTCCAGGATGAGCTAAAGCAAAGAGAACTTGCTTATTTACAAATAACATATGACTAGTGCCAATGAAGTGGATTATTATATAAATAAAGCTTCTAAGATCATTATGATGGAGTTACTAAAAACTTTTTTGGTGGAAACATCTAAGGGAATTAGAATAAATGAATAACCTCTTCTCTTCTCTAGAACAAGTTGCTGTTTCACAAAGGAAACTATCAAATATTGAAGTTTTGAAGGGAGCTACTAAGAAAGCATAGCTATTTCTTCTATGTTATAGAGACCCCTGAATATATGTTATGGTTCATTGTACTCCTGTTGCCTGACCTGAGAAAATGCTCCTCAGATGAATTATTTTATTTAAATAGCTGCCTGGTACATGACAGATGTTACAATGTGTCATAATGTATTGAATATTTTGTAATATTTTCCACTGCCACATATAAGTTGTAAACAGTCAGTCATGTACATATCAATTATAATTCTATATTCCTTATTACATATATGTAGTGAAACATATAATAAAATAGCAATGAGTTTATCAGAAATTTCATATGCTTTATTACCATCTAGTTATCCTCCTTGTGATAAGTTAATCGTATTGATTTCATTAGGAACATAAATGTATTAATTTTTAAATCACCTTGGAATTAAAACATGTTTATGTGATTATTGATGGTCTTTAATAAAAATACTAGCAACATCATCTTACTAAATGTATTCTGAGCATTGCTTTATGATTTTATAGCTATTTTGACATAATTATATTTTGAAATAACTTTTTTTCTGTTTTCACATATATAGTTTGGTTGCCACTGGTAAATGGGTTACAAATTTCCTTTGGTATTTTAATGGGAAACCTATTTCTAAAAATCCAAAATGAATTAGTGAGCTCTAGTTTATTTATTTTTTTTAGTAAATATGCCCCATACACCATTAAACAGCCAGCCACAATTAAAATTAATACATGAATTATTTTTTGAAAGTGAATCATTTGGATCCTCTGGTTACGAGAGTTCATATCCCCTTACTTCTAGAATTTTTTTATTCAGTTTCTTATGGCAAATATTAACTCATTCTACACAATAATCAAGAATAGTTTTAAATTGCTCTAACTCATATTTATCATCTGATGTGTGTATAAAGAGATAAAAATACTTTTAAAAGTACTTCCAAGTTTATATTTAATTATACATTATCAGGAGTAAAATTTTGGCAAAATATATTCATCAATGCTAAAACAACATTCATAGATGATAAGAGTGATTAGTCCTCCCTACTTCTTATCCACCACCATGTATTGAAATTAATTTTCAATACTTATGATGTTTACATGTTGACCAAAAATGTCTACATTTGAAATTAGTTTCCATATGATAGGTATCACAGATTCTAGATAAGTGTATTGAAATTTTTTTTAAAATCTAGCTATTATAAATTTTTAAAGACATTAATTTTTTTGTTATCTGACTTGTTTCTCTTTCCCTTTCAGGAGTTGGAATTTTCTAATTTATTTGCTGTTCTTCACTGCATTCATTCCTTCTTTGCTGCCAAGGTAGCTTGTTTGGACCCTCTATTTTTAGGCAATCAAGCTACTGTTTCTGCTGCTGCCAGCTCTGCTACCACGAGCAAAGCAAAGTATACAACTTGACGTACTGAGCTCTGCATTGACACGCACCATGACTATATAAGCAGGACACATTTACTCATCATTTAGACCCTAGAGAAACCATAACATCACCAAGTCGGCAGTGGAGGCAAATCGAAATTTTGGCAGAAAAAAGAAGGTCATGTGGAACCTCAAAAACACTTCCATTCTGGATGACATCTGTGAAACATACTATATGAAAAGTTCAGTTGCTTTGTACCAGTAAGTATATTGCTTTCACCAAAAGTGGAGACAAAAATGAATTATTTGAAGAAATATGTAAGTAATATAAAAATAGTAAGCTACTTATAAATAAAATACTTATTAAAAGATTACTTCTGTATTTTAGATTATTTTGTATGACTAGTACATGTTGGGCAGAGTCATAAACAAAGCCCTATCATTGTATTATGAGGGACATAAAAGAATTAAAAACCATAAATCAGCAAGGAGCATGCAAAAAAATCACATCAAAGAAGGATGTACTTTAATTTGCTGATGTAAATTTGCCCTCGTGTTCTCATCCCATGATTTGACACTGGCAGTCCAATTGTTTTTATCTTATTGTAAATATTCCAAAGAACTTCGAAAGGATAATTACTTTGACCCATGATAGATACAATGTGGAATGGACTATTCTCCCTTCGATCACTGTTACTGAAATGTCTTATTAGCTGCCAACAATCAAGTATGCCAATAATGTATTAATTTAATTATGAGTGATGGAAAATTTCATGAACCTCTCATTTCTTCTTTGGTTTTAAATAGATTTATATTTTACCTAAGAAGATTTATTATCAAATTAAAGTTTCATAAATTTTCAGTGAACCAAAAAACTTTAGTAGAGAAAATAATATAAACAAATATGGTGTGAGAAGCAATTCTTTGTAATCTGAAGTCTACTAGCTAATCATGAACTAAAATGTCCCTCTAAAGCAGTCCCAAATCTATTATATATGCTAATTAAATGACATTTTTCCATTTCAGTACTATTTTATTAGAAACAAAGGTGATAGTTAAAGATAAAAGTTAAAAATTTTTATCTTCCCTTTTCATGGAAAGTGATTAAGTAATGTCAACTATGCAGGTTATTTTAGATATTTTGTCCTAAGAATGTAAATGTGGAAGGCTGGGAAATTTGAAAGCCTTCGAGGTGTGCAATTTACTGAGATTCCAGGTATTATACAACTAGTTGTATAATATGGAAAACATTCTCTGTCCTTTAGTACAGCTTTTTTGAGATATTTTTAAAAGTCAACTGTGTATGTAAGAAATAACAAAACAAAACTTTGTGTATTGGTACACATGCTCCCAGGTAAACCAAGTATTAGATGTGTCCTTGTGGATATAACCAAGTATCTAATAAATTGATTCAATTTTCTTTTTTTCCAAATATGTTTTTAAAAATCACTCAAGAAGGAAACAAAATGATTTCTATAAAGGACAGATTTATTAATTTTAAAAATTAATATCTAGTTGTTTTATACTCATTATGATTCATTAATTTATTTTGCATCAGATTAATTTGTAAATACCTAAAATTGAAAAGAAAAAGTGAGGGTTTATAATTGTCCCTGAGAAAATGTTAAACTGAGTCTAACATACCTTGCCCAAAGAACTGTGACAAATTGCAATAAACAGTTTCAATGTAATGTATTTTGACCATAAAACTAAGTACACATTTGTAATTAGTATAGAACTTTAGAATGATTGCACACTATATTGATCAAACACAACAGTCATTGTAAAATTGGAGCCCACCAAAAGCAGGCTTCAGTAGTAGGCCACTTCTGAACTTACGGAGAAAAAGCAGTGGGATACATCCAACTTAGAATTTTCAGCTGTGGCAGGTGGTTCATTGTAGAACTTCTGCTTCCAACCACAGCTGAATCTCAGTGTTCCCCATATTGGGGTTACATGAATGTGTCCACAATCTGGTCTGAGGCAATATGACATGGGCTAATTATCCATAAGCAAAAGAAAAAAGTTTCAATAGTTTACCTACCTGTAATAGAATGATTTAAAAATTGTGAAATTTTGTAAACATTCAATTTCAAAATTTAAAAAATCTATTATTAGCTATATTTTTTGATATCACGAAAATTTAGTCTATGCTCATGTATGTTATGAAGGAAAAGATGCACAATTAGATATGTATAAATATATATCTCCTCGGAGAATACACACACACGTACATATGCATATATATATGCATATATGTGTGTATATATATAAATATAGTCAAATGCTGACCATTAATTATATTAAAAGAATATGTTTTGTGTACATACATTTAATATACATTAAATTAAGTTGTAAAATGCAGTTTGATTAAAAACTTATGACAATACCATTGTGATTATTTTTGATACTATTGATAAAAAAACATAAACCGTGATTTTTATTTAACATGATTAGTACAACAGTCAAAAAGTAACAAAATACTATTCTCATTTTCATCAGTTTAACAATTAGTGTTTAATGTTTTCTTTACAATGTGATGATTAGTCGTTGGCATTTGTTATATCTTGGACTACTTGAATGAGAAAGCTTAGAAATGAACAAAAACACATATAAATTTATCTCTCTCATATAATTTGGGTTTACATGTATGAGATTTATTCACAAAATCCTAGTTTGTACATTGAGCACATTTTAACAGCAAAACGCTAATGTGTTAACCCCTCCAGTGCCTTGGTGTATGTGAGCATGTATGTGTGATTGGGTGTGTGTCTATGTGTGTATGTGTGAGTGTGTGTGTGTGTGTGTTATCATTAAATGGTTCATTATGGTGTACATAACACAAGCTTAATGGGGAATATTGTTATTTAGGTCAGAGAATGAAGTTCAAAGTCATCTGAAAACTGCTAACTACTATAACAATGTCTTTTGCTTGATCAAGAATAACAATTCATCTAAGCTGAAGCATATTACAGAAAGGGCATTTATAATTTGTTATATTGCAACAAGTATTTATTTAAAAAATAATTTAATAGGTAGTGTATGTGTAATGTATACCCCAACACACTTATCCAGCTTTTTTAAAATGGGAGGATAATCAGGTAATTATTTATTGCCCATATTTCAGACGTGTACCAACTTATAATTTTGAAATCTTCTCTCATAAAGCTGTCCTTCAGCAAGAAAAAGAAAGCAATTACTTGAAAATAAATGTCGAGTCCGTATTAGCCATGCAAGGAGAGAAATGTTCCTTTGGGTTCATTAGTTTATAGATCAACATTTCCCTCATTTACAGTGCTGAAGCTTGATCATGAACTTTGTCTATGTTGAATGCTGGATTTAAGAAAAGCTTGATTTATTACTGAGAAAAATTAATTATCCTAACAATAATTTAGAATTACTGCTAGAAATCAGCAGTGTGGAGAAGCTTTAAAAGTACAAGGATGATCTTGTGCTTAACTTTTTAAGGTAAGTGTAGACGTTTGGATATTAATAAGACACATTTTGCTACTATTAATACTGCTGTGCTTATAATTTCTCCTTAAGAAATTGCTTTATTCATACCTCTAAATTTGTTCTTTATTGTTTATTCTTACTACTGAATACTTTAAAATCATAATGCCACTTATTTGCACATTTGAATTTGCTTTTGCAAATAAAATATTATAAATGTTATATATTTTATATACATTAAAATGTAATGAAAATACCAGAAATATAAAATGTAAATATATTTATTTCATTTTTAATTGTTTTGGTGGATGTTTGTAAAATGTAAATTAATATCTGTGACAAAAATTTGTCACTTCGTTCTTTCAGTTAATTAATGTACTACTAATAAAACCATACTTTTTTAAACGAAGCATACTGAAAAATAAAAACAAATACTTTTTACAGATTTGGGTTTTCATTTCTTTGGGTTGAATTGTAAGTTTTACGTATGTTTAAAACATGATCCTGAGAGATTTAACTTCAATTAAAAGGTTTAAGATATGAACTGTGTATATGTAAGTGCAGACTATGTGGTACATAATCTGTTCTAGTTGACAAATATTTACGAAGAATAGACATCTAACTCCTAAATGCTCCTAAAGTTTGAAGAAAGATGGTATTTGTCAAATTACTTACCCAACTGAGTTACAACTTCTGAAAAATATGACATTTGATATCACTGTAATTTGTTTATCAATTCTAGTGCCTTTTTTGTAGATTAAGATTTTCTATGTTGACATCCATGCCATCTACAAGAGAGTCTGTTTTATTTATTCCTTTTTATTAAATACATTTTAATTTTGGCTTCCTACCATATTACACAGGTTGAAACCTCCAATTTAACACTAAATTTAACACTAAATTGTTGTTTAACACTAATTGTTGAAAGTAGACATCCTTGCCTTGTAATGATTTTAGGGGAAAAGCATTCAATCTATCACCATTAAACACTTTGTTGGCATGAGTTTTCAGTAAATGTCTTTATCAGACTAAGCAAGTTTCTATTTCTTCCTAGTTTGCCAAGAACTTAAAAGTTCATAATAAATTATGAATAAATACTAAATACTGTCATAAGCTTTTCCAGCGTCATTGAAAGGGTTACATGATTTTCATACTGAGTAACACTGATTCATTTTCAAATGTTGAACTATCATTGCATTGCTGGTATCAATTCACTTGGTCATAACATATTATCCTCTTTATAAATTATTGGATTTAATATGAATTATTATCTCTCTCTTTTTTTGTGATAAGTCCTATAACCATCCTGGCCCTGAGTCTACTGGAGCCCACCAATCTTCTTTGGCAGCTCCAACCAGCTTTAGAGTTTTCTAGGTATGAGTCAGATACTACTATTCCTTAAGTCTTACACACTCTAGGGACCACAGATCAAGCATTTTTGTTGATTTTCTGCAGATATTTCCCACCCCTGTTTATAGGTGCAAGAAGCACCCAATTGCTATGATAGGCAGGGAAACAGAAATGTCATAAAAGTCTTACAACTCAAAAGTTTCCACTAGATTAGGAATTTAACACAGGCAAGTATGGAGAGAAGGAAGGAAACATACACCTGAAATATCAACTCCATTTAAGAAAAATCCCACAATAATATACGTATATTTAACCTGGTGAGGCTGGTCTCTAACTTTTGAGCTCACGCAATTCAACCGCCTCAGCCTTTCAAAGTGCTGGGATTACAGGAGTGAGCCACTGCACCCAGCCCACAATATATATATTTTTTGCATTGAAGGAAATGTATGAGTCCACTTTTGTGTGGATAGAGTTATTAAATCATTCGGATAAATATCAATGAATTCAATCATCAGATCATTGGGTAGGAATATATTTAGTTTTGTGAGAAACTGCCAAATTGCCTACCAAAGTGACTGTGCCATTTTGTATTCTCACAAGCAATAAATGAAAGTTTCTATTGTTCTTTGCCCTTGCCATAAATTTGTTGTCAGAGTTCTTAATTTTAGCCACTCTAATAGGTGTAGAGTGACTTCTCGTTGTTTTAATTTACAATTCCCTAACTCTCTTGTTTTTAAGAATTTCTGATATCTACTTATGCTAAAGAGAAGGCAAAGATGGAAAAATGTAATGGGATGAGACTTTGCAAATAATTGTAGGAGGACAATAGAGATAGCTGGCAACTCTTCATAATGACATTGGACAGAAATTTACAGTACAGCAAACACCCAAAGATATGTAAGGACACAAAAGAATGTAACTGTGCCTGGGATTGTTGTGATAAAGGCCAAAACTGAAAGAGAACATTAGGTATACCTGCGAAAATAATTTATGCTATGATAAGGAATTTCAGGTTTAGTTTATTGACAATTGGAAGATTTTAGAATATTTTAACCCAGAAAATTACATCAATAGCTTTTTAAAAAATTATATTTATTGGCAATATGGAGAATAAAATTAGAAGCAAGAAAGGAGAGATTGCAAGTTTGAGAATAGCCAGAAATAAGTAAATTCTTTCTGGTTGATCAAATTCTCAGGATGATTAAAATCTCTGATAAGCCCGATAAATAGAAATAATAAAAAGGTGTAATAGTGTGTAGTTCAAGTATAAATAGATTTCAAATGAGAATAGGGAAAACTGTAAATATTTTCTTAAATGTGCTTATCTTTGTGAAAAAATCTAAATTAACAAACTTGGAATCTAAACTATCAGCAGGTTATTATAATACTCCCAAGAATATGAGTGATCATAATTTGTATGCTTGGTATTCATGTTGAATATGATAGAATAAGCTCTGCACAGGAGTATCTTGTAAATTTCCAAAAGGTTAATAAGAAACAACAGGGACAACCCTGAAAGAAATGAAACACTTCTTGAATGAGAGACAGCTGTTGTGTTAGGCTAATTATATATAAAATAATAAGAAACTATATAGGAAACATAGCAAAACTATTCTCACTAAAGAAAACGATTCCACCAAGAACATGTAGACTAACTAACAGTGTTTAAGAACAAAATTGGTATTGATGGAACTTAACTTGATCCAGACTTTTATAAAGATGCATCCCTAAGTTAATTATAACATGTCGCAGGATAGGGCTCTTTCTTTAAAGTGCATCTTGTTTGCAAGATGTGACTCACTAACAGATTGCATGGAAAGATGACTGTTATCATAGCAGAAAATTATCTCCAATGGTTCATATCATGGTAGAGAAGGATGAAAATGTTGCTGAAAAATGAAAATTCTTTTCCACTATTTGTACCATACTTCCTATGTTTTCAGATTTGCATTGCATTGATTATTTACATTAGCATAATCAAATTAATCTTTTGAGATTTCAAGATCCATCCAAGTAATTAACATCCTGGAAATACTAAGACAGATATAATAGATGTCTTAATAAACAAGAATAAATACTCATTTCCATTGTTAAATAAAAATTTTATATATAAGTAGTTATTAAAATATTACAAATTAATTAATATTGGGGGAATCCTATCTTTCCTTCTGTACTTTATAGTTGATTTCTCAGGTGGCTTGTAATGGGTCAATCT